AAGGTACGTCTCTTGTGAATATTAATTGATTGTTCGGTTTTCTCTTCTGAAATTACATTATGACGCATTCACATACATTATTAATGCAAATACATTTTCCAGGACGAGACGATGAGGCAACCACAAGCACTTCCACTGGTTCAAGAGGGGAAAATGCACAATATTATCGTGATTACAGAACACGGAAGCGAGCGGAGCAGGAAAGGTGTCGTTGAATAGAACTAGTGATCCTTCTACAACTGCTGATTCTTCTACAATTAACGTCGCAGGTTGCGAAGTTTAACTTCTCCCGCGCGGAGGGACTCCACGCACTATTTTTTATTTTAGGCTGATACAATCGTCCCTTTACTTATTGTTACAATCGTCCCCAAGACGCCATTTCAGCTTCATTTGTTAAAAACAATGCTAGTTAATTAACAAAACTAACTTTTTTTATTGAAATATAAATTAAGATGTCCACTTACATATTCGGTTAATAATTTTTATTTGTTTAAACAAAATTACTTTGTTACAATATAATATTCTAATACCAAAAAAAGTACTTACGTAGCATGAAAATATCTTTTGTTTTGTAACTCTTTCAAAAGTACATAAAAATGGTTGTCAGCAGGTTACATGTAGATTTATTAAATACACCTTGTGCTCCACCTCTTAACAAAATGTAGAACCCGACACTCGAAATTTTTGCTCTGTTAAAATCGTACCCTGTTACAATTGACCCCACTCTCCCCTACTGTATTTGATAAAAATCTTCAAGTCAAAAAAAGAAAGAAAATTTTGAATTCTTCTGGAATTGACCAAATTTTTTTATTTGCCGTTATTTTTTACATCGTTGATTTTGTTAAATTTAGAAAAATGAAATTTCATTCACTTAGAATACTATTTTACATAAGGCTCATGTCAAACAATGGCCTTTGCAATCATCTCACAGACTTTCAAGAATTTTTTTTTAAAAAGTTCTTGGTGAAAAATGGTTAGATTTTTCAGAATTTTACATAAGGCTCATGTCAAACAATGGCCTTTGCAATCATCTCACAGACTTTCAAGAAATTTTTTTTTAAAAAGTTCTTGGTGAAAAATGGTTAGATTTTTCAGAATTTTACGTAAGGCTCATGTCAAACAATGGCCTTTGCAATCATCTCACAGACTTTCACGAAATTTTTTTTAAAAAAGTTCTTGGTGAAAAATGGTTAGACTTTTCAGAATTTTACATAAAGCTCATGTCAAATAATGGCCTTTGCAATCATCTCACAGACTTTCAAGAAATTTTTTTTAAAAAAGTTCTTGGTGAAAAATGGTTAGATTTTTCGGAATTTTACATAAGGCTCATGTCAAACAATGGCCTTTGCAATCATCTCACAGACTTTCAAAAAAAAAATTTTTTTTTTTTAAAAAGTTCTTGGTGAAAAATGGTTAGATTTTTCAGAATTTTTGGATCAAACCTACGATTGAGTTCCATTTTTAAATTTTGACTCAATTTAAGAAAAGAGCATAATTATAAATGTTGACTCGTACATCAAAAATACTCATAATTTTTTTTTGTGAACCAATTTTCTTTAGTTTTGATATTATAAATTCAAAATCATAAAAAAAAATAAATAAATAAATAAATAAATAAAATAAAATAAATAAAAAAAAAAAAAACATTTCTTATATTGAAAAATATCAAAACCAAACCAAACACAAAACAAAAACTTAAAAAATTTTTTGATATTAATAAATAAAACATTTAAAATTACGATGAAAAAAACTTTTAAAACTTTTAAACTAGATTAAAAAACTTTTTTTTGCACTTAAAAAAAAAACTTTATTTTGGTTAAAAGCTAGCTTTCTCCTGATTCTTTTGTATTAAAATATATAAAATTTAACATTATAACATCATTAAAAAAATTGAGGTTGCGAAAATTGTAACTTCCCTATAAAAAATTCGACTAAATATTATATAAATATTTTTATATATTAATATTTTTATATATTAATATTAAGTAACCATTATATAACTATAAAGTAGATTGATTACATAGTATTGCCCTTTTTCTTTCTACTGGTACCAAAATTAAGAAAAATAGCTCATAAAATAAATAATTGCTAATTTTTATCATACAAGTCGCAATCTGTAGTTTAGTTACGTCATTTTTTTTAAAATTAAATGAAATTTCAAATCTAATCGTATCTTAGTTCAAAAAATTTTGAAGAAGTTATTTTAGCTTTATTTCATTGAGAACTACTCTGCGAGAAATTTTAATAATTTTCTCTGTTATGATGACAACGTCAATTGGTTTGAATGAGCTAATGTAAAATGGTATTTAAAGTGAAAGAAATTTAATTTTTTTTCACTTTAATTAAACAAAATTTACGATTTAAAAAGCTGATGGCAGTTTAAACATTTGATCAATTTTACTAGAATTCTAGATTTTGTTTTCCTTATGTAAAGTGGCATTTTATCAAATATAATACTTTTAAAGAAATTTTGATTACATCGTCAATAGATAAGTGCACGTCCTTCTCTTCAGCTTTATTGGTAATTTCCTGAGACGTAGACTACCATTGAGTATGAATTGTCGATATGATCAATGAGTAGGCGGGGCATATGTGTAAGGTAACGCCCACTTAAAAGGCTTTATCTTTAATTTTGTGTTTATATAGCTGAAGGTGAACAGGGTATTAGTGGTTTTGGTAGTTATAGGAAGCATCACTCCTATTTCAGAGCAAGTGAAAATAGAAATGGTGCGAAAAAGTTATTATTCTAAAAAACTTGTTCTCGTAATGATGATGTTGGCTTTGCATGGAAATGTTGCTTCCACTGAAACAGAAGAAAAACTGGAGATGTTGATTCAAGATGCTGGCGATCTGAAGAAAACCAAACTGAAACCAAAACAGAAAACCTAAGAAGTGAAAACAACTGTATCCAATCTTGTGTTGCTGAAATGCGAAAAATTAAGCAAGAAGAGATCGGAGTATTTCAACCACCTCAGGATCTGTAAAAAGTCTCTTTAGATGTTGAAGAGTCCAGGCTAACCCCTTAGCCTTATCCTGAGGGAAATTGGGCTTTCTGAGGTGAAATCGGAACTTGCAGCCTGAATTCATTGGATGTGATTGGCCACAGTTGAAGCACCTATCAAACTCTGATTTGTCCTCATCGCAGAGGTAGGAGAGATCGATCCCGGCATCCCAGCGTTCCTCAAGCAACATGATTAGCCGTTGCAGTTTCTCAGCACATGACCGAATATCTACTATAGTTCGAAAAACATTACTGTCATATTCCAGTAGCCGCAAGAGCATCACCTCCTTTGAAAAAATCTACTCTCGGACTGGCACTCTGAATGCTACTTCAGTCCAAGTGCTTACCGCTGGTCATCTTTATATTTCTCCACGGTTCCTCGATTGTGTTGAGATCGTAGATTCTCCGATGTGACTGTATTCTCTAAAACTGAAGGGGAAGATTCTGGGGAGATCTGATCAGGAAGATTGGCAAATTCATGTTGGATGGTGAATTCGTGAATTTGCAGATTTTAATCCTAATTTTTGTACAGCTGAAGTCTCTCTTTCGGATATTTTCAAGTTTTTCTTATGTTTGGGAGAAATTTGCTAATGAGCGGAACGGACTCAACTGTAGGAATCTCCATCAGTGTCGGTGAAGGAGTAGCCTCAGTTTTTGGAGGAGGCTGGGAAGAAGGAGAAGCAAGCTGTTAATCAATGATGTTGATTGATTCAGTGTTGGCATTAGATTTCTTCTTCCTCTTTCTGACAGTAGAGGATATTTCTGCAGCCTCAGAGGCAGGCTGAGTTTTAACCTTAATCGGGTTTTTCCATCAAGATATTTTTCACAAGAATCAAGATGCATATTTTGTAATATATTGTGATAGATTCTGGCGGATAAGAACATTCAGCTTCTCCAGTTGTCTTTTCAGACTCTTTTAAAGAGTGAGCGTAAATATCCTTATTCCATAAGTTTTAATTGGTAGCGAAACTCTTGTTTTTCCATTAAACTTTCTGAATTATAATAATAATTATAAATGAGTTTGATGACCACTACATATTAATAATTATAAATAGTCTTTAAGGTCGTTAATATCAACCTGGCCATAATGTGAATTCACATTTTAGTAAAATAACTGCAAAGTATTTCAAAACAGTGGTAGACAACTAAAAATTTTCATAATTTTTGATAATTTACCTAACAATTCAATTTCATCATCATCATTTACATGAGAACTGGGCATCTGAGGGCTTGGGGCTCTTCTCCCATTCATCTTAAAAGTAAAAGAAAACATGCCTGATAACAGATGTAGTAACAAGGTGCAAAATGGAGTTCGTGAGAGCATGGAGCTTAGCCATTATGGGGTAAAGACAAAATAAATTGGGATTTAGTAAAGGTAAATTATCTAGCAATTTAAACTGTATAAAAAAATCTGGACCCCTGAGGCCGCTTGCGGCTTTTTTCCTATTCATGTTTAGCTTGATCTTTGTTGTGCTCGATGAGGTTGGGAATTGCAAATGAAGTAAAGGAATATTCATTGGAAAAATTGAGGCTCTGACTGCGTAATTATATGCAGTAGGGTGATAAGACTATATTATAAAAGTATGAACTTTAGCTAAGATGATATGATGAAAAAGTATGTATATGCTATTGATGTCGGGAATATGATGCATCACTGCAATAGTATGATGTTTTTGTCTTCAGTTAAATTATCAAATAGGAATATTTCATTAAATTTGCTGTAGAGCAAGAGGTAGCTATTTCGTAGAATTTGTTATTTAATTTAAGTATATGTTTGTGATCTAACAATTTAAAACAAACCATTCTATATCACCTTTTGATTCATTTACGTGTAGTGGTGAAGAAGATAGTTATAAATCCAATTTAGAGTGCAAGGAATGTATAGACTTAGCTATCACTGGAAAAAAATTTCCCTACATGTCCTTTGAATCCACATCATTGGTTGTCCAAATAATTTTGACCAGTGAGTGATGGCATATTTTCAAAAACTCTTGTTAATGTTAATTGTGTCTTTTTAGGAACTTTCCAAGGTCAATGGGCAAAAGGGATGAGACATGGCTATGGAGTCAGAAGCAGCGCTCCGTTTGGTCTTGCAACCTTCGTAAGGAACCAGTCTTTAAAAGCACCACCCACCCCGTCAGACAACCCAACTCCCGAGCCCAGAAGACCAGAGGAATGCAGAGGAGGATTTGTATTGAAATCAAGAGAGGCTACAAGTACTATGGGAAGATCACTGCCCGATAACCGTCCTAAAGCATCTACACTAAAAGTAAGCGATAAAGTTAAGCTTTGTTTTACTTATTGAAAATTGTGTTTAAATTTAAAGTAATGGTATTTGATTAAATGCTAAGTTCGAAATATATTTAAGGGGAAAAATTTTTTTACCAGCTTTCTAGCCATCTAGTTTTTATTTTCAATGAGTTACTCGAATGACTTATTTTATTTTATTTTAATATTATATTTTCTTATTAGTATCTATATTATATAATACGCTAATACGTAGGTATCAATAAAACCGATGATATTTCTTTTCTCGCGTTGGCAACAGTTTTCATTTTTAATTGATAGGATTCGGCGCGCAAGAGCACGTAGTGAGCATCATATGACTAATCTATTCGCGATCGCAACGCTCGAGTACGCCGTCTAGCGGGAGCCTGTAAATATCGGACATTAACTTAATACAATCACATTTTCTGNCGATGATATTTCTTTTCTCGCGTTGGCAACAGTTTTCATTTTTAATTGATAGGATTCGGCGCGCAAGAGCACGTAGTGAGCATCATATGGCTAATCTATATTATATAAAACGCTAATACGTTTTAATTGATAGGCTTCGGTGCGCAAGAGCACGTAGTGAGCATCATATGTCTAATCGGGTGAATTCTCACCGAATTATCAAAAAAAATCTCACAAAATTATCTTCATCAAAACATACATACATCCGGTGTTCAGTACTATTTCATATTGCTTTACAACACATGGTTTTAGCCCTCTGGTGGAAAAGACTTTAAAACAAAACTTACAACAGTTACTTTTTTCAACAACTGAAATTTAGAATAGTATGCCAACAACTGAAATTTAGAATTTAGAAAATATGCGAACTGTTTTCAATTTTAAATTAATATTGAAATGCACAGGTTTAGAACTTTCTACAGTGAAAAGTTTTCGGAACTTCAGTGTTCAAAAAAGTATACAAAAGCTAGACGTTAAGAACGTATCCAATGAGCGAGCAAAGCGAGCATCGGATTGCGAAGCAATCCGAAATGAACTGCGAAAGTAGTTTCGGGGTTGGCGAGCGCCAGCGAGGAGGGGGCGAAGGATCCTAGTTTAAATATAAAATGTTAACCATTTTGTTAAACTCTATTAAAAATTATTGACGTTTGTTTTATTTTTCTAAATAAGTTTCTTGAGGAGAAGAGGCTACTTTGGACAAATGAAATATTTCTGTTGTTTATCACTCATAAATTCTCAATAAATTTTGACAGATTGGTTAAACTGTGGCACACTTTAATACATAGTTGCAAGGCGAAACAGTTTGATATTAAGTAACAAATTGAAAGTTTTTTTATGATGGCAAAGTAACTTTTTGTTTATGTTTAATTGCACCTTTAGCAGCGATGCCAACTTGCTCCGGATAACGGATAAATATTTTCGGTGGTAGTCTCTTAATGCATAATTATTGGTTTTTGTAAATTCGATTTATAGGGTTTTATTCACCACTACTTCTAAATAATTCAAATGCTTCAAGAAACTTGCTACATTACAAAACATTATTCTGAAGATAATTACCAAGGTCAGGTGGTTTGAAAGGCATAATGACATATGGACTGATCTAAAACTCTATTTATTTGATCAAAATTTCAAGTGTTTTGATAAAGCTGCTGATAGTAATACTGTAAATTTTAACAATACTTTTCAATTTGAAAATCTTAAAAAAGATGCTTGTCTTAGACCCATAGCACACTTTTTCACAAGTGATGCGATAATGCCCTTTCACCATCATATGTAAATAGTCGTCTTCATTAGTATATAGTCTACATTTGAATAGATTCATTATTTGTTTCTCTTCATCAACTGTTAATGTTCATAAATTGTTTCGTGTCTGCAAATTTATCACTTTCATCTCGATCAATTTAAGGCAAAGTGACGTTTATTTCCTGTTCTTCCTCCTATTAGAGTTCTTTTGTTATCTTATTAATCCACCACAAAGTCCAATATTTCAAGATGAATGGGTATAGGGTACGTCTGAGGCCTCAGACTCCTAGTTCAAACTTCATGCCTATGGCACTTTTACCGTACCTCACCGACTACTGACTCCAATGTTTCCGACTCACCGATTAATTACAACATGGCGGATGAGATGAGAGCCTAGGCTGTAGCTCGTAAATTTCAGTTGGTGATTCTCTACCTTTTTATAACATATTTTGTCAAATCCGGTGCAGTTTGCATCTCTGCTCCAGATTCTGCTAGTTTGTCACGAATGCTAGTTTGTCATCGGGACAAACTAGCATTTGTGAAGGACTTTTTTTATGAACTAACCCACATTCGCGTAACATGAGGAGGAAAACCATGAAAGCCTCCCACGGTTTGCCCGATGGCAAGGGGATTCTAGCTTAATCACCCACCGCTGGGATTAGAACCAGGATCATTCCATTGGGGTAAAACGCTCTACTCCTTGAGCCACCTCAGCTCTGCGATAACATTTGATTTTGCGTGATAGCATTGATTTGAGCTTCTTTTTCATGATAACAGCGTTATTCGTAAACCATCATACAATAGGATAAGCAAATAGCATTTTTTTTTTGCTTTTTTTTCACGATAACAGCGCTGCTTTTCGCAAACCATCATACAATAGGATAAGCTGATAGCATTTTTTTTTTCTTTTGCTTTTTTTTCTCGATAACAGCGCTATTCGCAAACAATCATACAATAGGATAAGCAGATAGCATTTTTTTTTTTTTTTGCTTTTTTTTCTCGATAACAGCGCTATTCGCAAACCATCATACAATAGGATAAGCAGATAGCATTTTTTTTTTTGTTGCTCTTTTTTCTTCACGATAACAGCGCTATTCGCAAATCATCATACAATAGGATAAGCAGATAGTATTGTTTTTTTTTGCCTTTTTTTTGCAGAATATGATTTTGTTTAAGAATTTTGAAGTTGCTTCCCATCTAATCTCCAAGGGATGAGGTAGAGATAAGAATTTGGACTGTTTCATATGATTGTAATAAATCTGAAAAACTGATAGTTCGCTTATAGTAGACTCATTTTTTTTTCAGTTTATTTAATTAAATGATGCAAAATTTTTAGTCTTAAAAAAGTATATATTCATGAAACGGTAATACACATTATTAAGTAGTGGAATTGTGCCGAAATGTATAATGAGAGTTGGTTAAAAAAACAAGAACTTTGGTGAGCTAGTTGGTTGCACCTAAATTCCAACTTTAAATTGCAACTTCCTATACAAAAAATGAAAATAAAAAAAATCTAAAATATTTTGACGTAAAAACAATAAGTTTGTTATATAGAGAACACTTTGAAGTCTGCCTATTCGTTATAGGTAAACTTCGTTGAGAAAAACTAAATAAACTAATAAAACTAACTAAATTAAATTTCCTTATAGATAGGAATTAGTTGTAACCAAACTTCGTTGTAAAGTCATTACATATTTAGTTATGTAATAATTTATAGAACAAATTTTGTACTATTGCAATAACTATTTCCAACAGAATATTTTTTCCGATATTTGGGATTGTGAACCATTAATTATATTGGATGCAAAGCGAGTAACTTTGTGAACTGTTCCAGACGCTGTTTAAATCGAAGAGCGGCGATCGAACGAGCAGCTACGAAGAGGAGGAACCCGGTGGATCTGGATCGGAGGCAACAGACAGCAGTTTTGTCTTTCAAGAAGATGAGGTCATTGATGTCAATGTCATCGAAACTTACATGGGAGAGTGGAAAAATGACAGAAGGAATGGATTTGGGATTGCAGAAAGATCCGATGGCATCAAATACGAGGGCGAATGGTACAACAACAAAAAATTTGGTTACGGTCGCACAACCTATAAAGTAAGTTTCTCCCCTCATAAATTGTTACTATTTATCAAAATGCACAACCAGTAATAAAACAAAAACGGATAAGATTTATAACTTTTGAACCGTTGGTCGGATTTTCACTTTATCAAGTGTTTTGTTGATATCTCAAAAAAATCTCTTAATGCTGTTTTTAAAGCTCTGTCGCCAAGGAAAATAAAAAGCCACAATGCCTTACACTTGAAGCCATACGATAATTTTAAACTGTATATATGTTACGGCCAAAGCCCGAATTGGGCCACTTCGCGAATTGGCCAAGAACGCTATAAATTGGCTGGCCAATGTCCGATCTTTTCCTGATTTCGGGAATTGGCCGGCCAGATCGCGAAGTGGCGTGAGAGGATCAGCCAAAGTTGGAAGAAAAATTCACTGGCAAGTATTATTGGCTCTGTATAACCATAACTTCATTTTTTAAAAATTACTAGAGGTGGGATGTGGCCATTTGAGACAAAGTAAAAAATTAAATGTTTTAAATTTTTATTTAAAAACTTGTCTATTTTTTTATATTTTTAAATTAGCAGATTTATATTTTTAAATTAAAGAAGAAAACAAAAGGGGCAATATTTGCAAATTAACTTTTTAATAAAACAAATATTAAAAAATTGTTGTCCCGGTATGTGATTACCTGTACGATACCCGATAGATTACATTTAATCGATGTTTTAATACTTACTGTCGATAAATTGGAAGATATATACCGGGCAAATGCATACCGGGCAGTGGCACTGAACTTTAAAAAAACATCAGTGTAGGATATTCCGGGCAGTGGCACTGAACCTTAAAAAATATCAGTGTAGGGTATACCTGGCGAATGTATACCGGGCAGGGGCACTTGACCTTCAAAAAACATCAGTGTAGCACATACCGGGCAAATGTATACCTGGCAGTGGCACTAAACTCTAAAAAAACATCAGTGTAGGATATACCGGGCAAATGTATACCAGGCAGAGCCACTTAACTAGACCTAGTATGACTAGACCTTTGGTAATTGTTCGAAATATATACTAGGTCTAGTTAAGTGCCACTGCCCGGTATACGAGGAATACAGCACTCACCTCACAGTGAAACTGCAGATGCGCTGCCTGCCGGGCATTCTTGAATGAGGACATCGCGTTTTGGCCGGAACATCGTGGCCACTTCGCGATGTGGCCGGACTTCGGGCTTTGGCCGTGACAAATGTAACTTTGTCTGGAAGAATTATCTGGGCTTTAGAATGGACAAATAACTTAAATGTTTTAAATGCTTTTTTAAAAATCACCAATTTGGTGATGTTTTTCCCCCTAGATGAAAATTATTAAAATCACTGCCTCATTTTCAGTTTTTGCCAATTTTTATGAGCCAGCGTGTGAGTTTTTAAATGTTAAAAAATTAGACCACAAGCGCTTTTCATTTTCACGAAACTGTGGCTTTTCTCCATATTGGCTTTTGGCACCATTTTCAAAATGAGAGTAGAGAGCGCTGGCTTTAGATAGGCTAAACTTGACATTACAATCATGAGCAATAATTTCAAACTCACAGTAGTCCTTTCTGCGTAACTCAAATGCGGGTTAGTCTCATCAAGAAGTCCTACACGGAGCAAATTTCTCCCAATACTTGATCCAGGAGTTCCCTTGTCTTCTGGATTAAGTTCAAAATACGGAGTTCAGACTATGGAGTTAAACATAAGTTGTCCTTGACCCAAAATTGGGTCGGCTGCTTAGCGACTGTAATAAAAAAAAATTGTAAAGCATAAAAATTTTTACGTAATTAGAATGTTCCGACTTTTTCTAAACCTAATGTAAATTTTCATGACATTTCATCAATAAAAATAGCTGAAAACCAATTTTAAAAAATTAATTTTTAAATGGGATTGAAATGGTACCAAATTCCAGTACTTCATGTTGTGCGTCATTCGAGACCTAAAAGATTCAAGCACACAAACTTTTATTATTATAGCTATGGAGTACCATAGCTGCGAACTTTAATGATTTTTACGAAAGATATTTTCAAAGGATAGCCAATTTTTTCTCCTTATATATTGTTCAGGATTGATTTAAAATTAATTTAATCACCACAGCATAAAGAATTTATTAAACAAATATAAGAACCACATGACACAACATGCTTAATTTATGTAAAAGCGTTTCAAAATTATAAGGAAAAAACTTATAACTTTAATACAATTCTGTTTTTCAACTACCAATATGAAAAATCCTTAGCAAAAATCATAAAAGTTGGTAGCTATTCTGTTTTACCCTACCTCTCTAAATTTTTTTAATAAAATGAGGGCAAAAAGTTTATTGATTTCAAATAATTGAAAAGTTGTTTTGTTTAAAAATCTTTTAAATGCATAAAGTGCCTAAAGTACATAAAAATAATAACATAAACACATAAAAAGATTACTGGAAGACATAAAAAGACTGGTTTTAATGATCAGTTTAAACAATAATTTGTTTACAACAATTTCGTTACAGAATGGAATAGAAGAACTGGGAAAATATAAGAACAATGTTCTGATCGCGTCTGGAACGAATAAGCACCTTTTCCTGTTACGTTCCAAGAAATTCCGGGATAGGGTGCAAGCAGCTGTGAACGCCGCCCACAGGTCATCTCAAATTGCTCTGCAAAAAGCCGATATTGCTATATCTAGGTAAGATCAACACATGAGATTTTGCGGGCTATTTTTAGAGTAGAGTCGAAATTTCTCAAATGTAATTTACATTATTTTATGAAACTATGTGAAATAGGCTTTTATGCGTTTAGTAATGTGTAAAAAAAAATTCTAAAAAGAACATTATAGTAATGATTCTCTCTCCTCCAACATAACCTACTTCATTTCAAGCTACTCTTGCGATCTATTATAAATTTGCTAGTTCGCAAGAACTTGAGGGAATATATTTCATAACTTTTGTTCGTCTAAAAGTGTCAGACCATATTTATTTTCTCATTAATTATTTTTTTTATTTATTTATCATATGTATTATAACACCTACATTATATGCAGGCTTGGATGTTCATTTCAAAGTTTAACGTAAAAGCCCCACTCAATATATGGTTTTACCGCCATATCTTGTAATACTTTTTGCACGGCTAAACAAAATGTTAAGGGCTAAAATAGTGGAGGTGCTTACAATATTTTAATATCGAAATATTATTTTAACCTATGACAAAACGCATAAAATCTTGTTTAGGACATGTTTTTCCAATGAATAATATTAGCTTCCGGATCTATTATAGTTGAGAAATTTTAACCCATTATTTATATTGGATTTATAAATGGATTTAAATAGGAATTATCTTCCGGATCTGTTACAGTTGAGAAATTTTAACTCATTATTTATACAGGATTTACATATGGATTTATATTGGATTTATATATGGATTTATATAAGAATAATGTTATCTTCCGGATATGTTACAGTTGAGAAATTTTAACTCATTATTTATATTAGATTTATGTTTGGATTTATATAAAAATAATATTATCATCTGGATCTGTTACAATTGAGGAATTTTTCAACTCATTTTTTATATGGGATTTATATAGGGATTTATGTAAGAAAAATATTATCTTCCGGATCTCTTACAGTTAAGAAATTTGACTCATTATTTATATTCGATTTATATAGGTATGAAGTGTTTTTGTTCATCTCACACTGTATTTCTAACGTCTTAATTTAACTTTGTTGCATTTGAATTAATTTATATGTGTGTGAATTCAATCATTTATTTAACAACGCATTTCTATCAGCTTTATTTAATCCTTTGTACACGAGGTCTTCCCAACTGTTAAAAAGCGAACCCAACCACTGAAAATAAACAAGACAAAATGCATTGTTTACACACGTACCATATAGTACCTGGAGACTACTAAATAAAGTGGCCATTAAACATTGAAACTGTGGTAACACCTTTAGTGGCCAAAGGGAGTCTCCGTTCATATTTATAATTATATATATATTCTTAGTTGAGTTTATATTTAAAAGTAAACATTGTTTCATTTATCTCGTACCAAGTGAACGAAGTTAATCAGAATGTTGCAAAGGACTTCTGCTTTACACTATGAGAAAATCTCAAGGTCCTGAAATGTCTAGTAGACAGTCGAGTTAATGCTATTTGATTTCTCCCGTCACCTTTAAAACTAATTGAAGCACCAGGATTGCCATTAAAATACCACGGATATGATGGTGCTTGTTTCCAAAAAGTGTTCATAGAAACCTTACTTCTCGTGCATAGATCAAAGTACGTAAGAGGTTCTGCATTAACCTCTGAATCATGAAAATGACCTCTTTCGTTAGGCCAATATTGTTCTATTTAAAATTCGCAAGAAACGGAATCCAATGTAGAAAATGAAGCTCAGAAGAACGAGACAGGTCACCATTTCTAAAAGCATGATCTTCTAAATTGTACCAAGAGCCATGTAAAATCTTCTGAAACATTTCCTGCTAAAAGAAAGTTTGTTTGCTCTGAGTTAGTATATATATTCCCATATAACCAAATTTGTGTTCCCATTTTTTTGTCTAACCCTTGTATATCCACAGATTATTTTCATTTATCTAATTACGCGTTTTTGTTTTGCTCCAGAACAGCAACTGCTCGAGGAAAAGCAGAGCACGCGGACGCAGCAGCCAAACAGGCAAGAGCAGAGTCTGCCATTGCTAGAATGATCGCCAACAAATATGCACCAGAATTCCAGCAACCCGGTAAAAATTATAACTTTTTGCTTCTTTTAAAAATTCTCTTAAATTTTTAAAGGAAATTGTTTTTATGAAAATATCATAATTGGAATTCGCATAAACGTATATGGAGATGAAATATAGATTATGTGCATATTTTTCTTTTTCATACTTTGATTTTACAATGGTTTTATTTTTTCTTTGTCTACTATATTACAAACTTATTCCATCTGACAATAAATGTAAATGAATATATATTTGGTTATTCTATGGTACCATGTCAGAAGTTTTTAATTAGTGATCAGGTTGTTAAGAACTGGTCTCTACTACCAGACCTGAAAAATATTACTCTTTCTTAGGAAGTATTTTCCAAATGGTAGTGAAAGAATAAACGAAGTGCAATTGTAGATAAAATTAATTTTTTGAAATTGCTATATCTTACACCTAATTTTGTACCAATAACTTGGTTTTATATTTAAGATTGATTTACTTGCATTTAGTGGTAAACAAAATCATATTAAATAAAATTTATAAACCCGAAAATTAAATAAAAGTTTATAAGATTCATTACCACTTTAAATATACAAATGAAATAGTACGGGCGGTCAGTAGCTATAGTAGTGGATAATACTATCAAAATACTATTAACCTTATCATACTTATCAAACAACTCTACTCAAGGGGATCTCCCCATTCCAAAGATGATTTTCACTTCAAAACTAAAGATTTATATCTTTAAGGACTTGATCTGTTCTTACAACATACTACAACTTCAATGATATTTAGGACCTCCTAGAATACGACAAAACAGATTCGATGAATCGGTTAGTGGCGCTGAGATAACCCAAATATCCAGCATCCATCCAGTAGTGGATAACTAAAAATGTAAAAAGGAGTGGCAAAAAGTGGCTATCTTTTATTTAAAGATACTAACATTAGAAACTTTTTTAGCATATTTTTTATATATATTATTGAAAATAAATGCCAAAAAAGTTTTTCGTTTAAATATGAATAATTTAAAATGTAAGTCATGGTGATAGTTATGATTGAAGAATCAAAGCGAAATGAACAAAAATAATTGAGTTTCTACCACTTTTTACATTTTCAGTCGCCAGTGACAAATATAATTCAAAATTTTATTGGTAGAAATTAAAATTAGCTACTTTAGTTCGCATAGTTTTTTCAGTTTACTATTAAGAGATAACGCAATGATGCTTTAATGTGAGAGTATTGAGCGAGGTACTGCCTTCCAGCACTTGCCTCTTCCTCTAAAAATATTTGCCACCGGCAACGAAAATATGCGATCCAGCGATCGAAGTCAACAGTACAGTAATATGAATGATAATGATTTCAGTTTAAATATGAATAATTGGTGATGTAAGTCATTGTGGTAGTTACGATTGCATAATAAAGAGATGAAAACTAAACGAAAATGAATTGAGTTTTTTCCACCCTTTACATTTTCAATCGGCCTCTGTAGGGGTTAGGGAACTGCCCTTGCATCAGAAAGTTTCTGGGTTCGAATCCCGGGATGTTCTTTCCTTCTCTGTACTATCTGTCCTTACTGTGGGAGCACCTAATATGGTGCCCCTGAAACAAACAAATCTGCCCTTCAGATACCTGTATGACCTAGGTCGTTGTCTAGGTGGGCATTGGAGAAAAAAACATTTTCAATCGCTTTAGACATCCTTGTAAGAGTAATGTGATGCTTTAAAATGGATAAGTAAATTTCAAGATGTCTGCCTTACGGCACCTGCCTCTTTAATTAAGTTTTATGCCATAGGCAACGAATGAAATGAATTAAGTATGAGTTATAAGCAGTAAGAGTACCAAAGTGGCTTATCAGATAAGTCTTTGAATAATTTAAAAGAAGGGGTGATTAATAAACCTATAAATCGAATTTACTAAACCAATAATCATACATTAAGAGACTACCACTCAAAAATATGTATCCGCTGTCTGGAGCAAGTTGGCATCTCTGCCACCCTGTGTTTAGAATTTTAACACCATCGCTCTTTCGAACAACTGTTCAACAAAGAACGATATAAAAGAAATATATATATATATATTATATATTTTAATAAATAAAAATGAACCATAATTTCTTTTAACAATGTAAATATTCAGAAACTCAATAAAAAGAATTACCTAACCAATCATTATTTTGAATATAAATTCTTTTTCATTGGATGGTGTAAAAATCTATATGATAGATAAGCTAATATTAATGTAAAGCTTTTTTTAGTAATCTATTTTTAAGAAAAGTTGTTTTTATCCACACTATACTATAATTATGGGGGGGGGGGCTAGAGGAAACAAATCTTAAGACTTATTATTTAAAATATACTTATAAAAAGTAATTAAAACCAAAATGTAACTAATTTTAGTCTAAAAAAATACTGTCATGAGACAATAATCTTAATAATGCTTAGTTAATATTAAATCATACTAATCACATAAGTTTTATTTATTTATTTATTTTTTTTTTGTGTTTTGTAAAACTCAATAAAGACATAAATTCAACCGTTTTCACGAATATTTCTTCTCGAATATATCAAGTTGTAACAAATGTTACGCATTACCGATTTAGTTTTGAATCACTGAATTTGATTAAGAATGACGTTAACCACCAGACTTTTAAACAATTTAAGCAAATAGGACTTGATAATAATACGGTGGTATTTTTATGTGCTAGCAAAATTTGGTCGAATGTGTTATCCCATATATGGGTCATTCTCACGAAAACTGTCATTTTTCAGTTCATAAAATCCCAAAAAAGTAAAGTGAATAAAAAGCTCTGAAACTTTTTATATTAATAGAAATATGTAATGGCATTATAAAGAAAGTATATATCCTATAAATTATACTTAATATTTAAATTAATTAATTTTTTAAATAATTAATTTATAATTAATTAATTTATAATAATTAATAATTAATTAATTAATTTAATAAATAAATTAATTAATTTAATAAATTAATTTATTAATTTTTTAATTTATTTTTCAAATTAATTAATAAGTAAATTAATTATTTTCACTATTTAAAAAGTGAGGGAATGACACTAATAGTGAGGGAATGATATTTTATTTTAATACATGTTTTTATCTAAGTTACATCTACCTAAAGTTTGAAAATGATAACATACTAAGTATATCTAATATTTATTATAATTTAGTCTTATATATTTAATAGTTTTTACAGGTTTGGGAAATAAAATTGGCTGGCACGATTGAACAAAAAAAAATTTGATAATATACTCATCTTGAATCATTCCCTCACTTCAGCGTCATTCCCTCACTTTATACACTAGTGAGGGAATGACGAATTCAATAAAATTTAAAAATAACAGTTAGGCCTAATTAATTTCTGAAGTCAATCACATACAATTATATTCATACAAGAAAGCAACATATAATTATCCACTTTCTCGATGAAGTTGTATTTTATTTTACTCTAAAAAATGACATGAGGGAATGACAAATGTAAAAAATTTTACCTGGTTTGATTCATTCAAATTTATTCCACAGCAAAGCTTCTTTAAGTTGAAGATGGAAACATACTGCAATTTTGTTCTATGATGCCAGTTGTTAACTTCTGAAGTTTTTATTAAAATATTTTTATTCTAAGAAGATTGCAGGTGATAAGAACATTGTTGTGAGGGAATGACGCGAAACACTGGGGACAAAGTTTAAAATAGTGCTGTGTTAATATTTTTATCAGAAATTAAATTTAAAATTGATTTTCTGAATTCTATATTTCAGTATTCTGAAATAAAAAACACGAATTTGTAAAAAAAAAATTTTTATTTCAGAAACAATTTTTTTCTTTTTTTAAATCAGCAGTGGGGACAAGTGAGGGAATGACATATTGGTATATTTTAATTACCTAAAATAAATAAAAAATAAAAATTGATAATTTTATTTTTATTCTTTTGTTAGCTTGCATTCTGAAGGACACTTTCCCTGAAAATTTTTTTTCGTAAGCTGTAAAACAAACATTAAATATACTGGGGACATGAAAATGACTGTTTTTGTGAGAATGACCCATATAATGATACATATTACTTTTCACATAATGATATATACAGAGATGCTAACTTGCTTCTGATTGCGGATAAATATTTTCTAGCCTTAGCAAAATTTATGTTTTAAAATATGACTTTTGGTTCATTAAATATGATTTTTAAGGTTTTTACCCTCCACTACTTATAAATTATTCAAAGGCTTACGTCAAACAAATTTTGTCGTTAAATGAATTCTTTTTTGCTACTTTTAAAAAATTGCTAATCGAAAATCAGCAAATTTTAATTTATAGCTCTCTGCCGTTCTTAAAAATGTTTTGCAAAATCCGAAGTAGTTGAGATCTTTGTATATATAACCTTATACAACTACTTTCCGAATTCGTAAGTATGTAGAATTCAATTTAAATTTAATAGTTGCACTATATTCAAATTATGTAAGAAAAACTGTTTCAAAAACAAGTGAGTGGAATAGAAATATATTTTTAATAATTATTTGGTAAACAAATATTATTAAGTAAAATTTGATTTTTATTTATAAAATAGTTTGCAAAATCAGTGTTAAATATTATTGAGGAGAAGCATTAAAAGAATTTCGAAAATTTACATCTAACAACGTAAAAGTGCTGAAATTCTATACGCTATCAACACTTTAAATTAAAATAATAATAATAATAATAATAATAAAAGGCTTAATACGAGTTAAAACATTAATCTTTCCAAAAAAATTTCTTCATATAAGATATAATTTAATTTCTTCAAAAGAGTCGAAAAATTTTTTAATAAAATTCTAAATAAAAATTCTAAGTTCTAAATAAAATTTGGTTTTTATTTTATAAAGCAATTTGCCAAATTAATGTTAATGCTACTGAGGAGAAGCAGAAGCATTAGAAGAATTTTGAGAATTTACGTCTACCCACTGAAAAGTACTTAAATTCCATACGCTATCAACAATTTAAATTAATAATAATAATAATAATAATAAAGCTTAATACGAGTTAAAACATTAGTCTTTCAAACATTTTCAACATTTCAAATTTTTCTTCACTCAAGATATAATTTAATCTAATA